CAGCGGAAAGAATACTGCCTCTGGAATCTAAAGGACCTGGGTTCAAATCCTGTCTCTAATGCCTGCCACCTGTGGGACCTCAGGCAAAGTGATGAGTCCACCCTGAGCTCAACTTTCCCCATCTGTAAAATGGGGAATTTGACCTAGTTGGCCTCTGAGGTCCCTTCCCATTATTGTTGTTGTAGTTGAGTCATTCAGTCACGTCTGACTCTTCCTTCTCTCATTGGGGGTTTTCTTGGCAAAGATACTGGAGTGGTTTGCCATTTCCTTCTCCAGCTCATTTTCCAGATGAGGAAACTGAGGCAGGCAGGGTTAAGTGACTTGCCCAGGGTCACACAGCTAGTGCGTGTCTGAGGCCGGATTTGAACTCAGGTCTTCCTGACTCCAGGCCCAGTGCTCCATCCACTGAGCCACCTCGATACCCCTCCTGCCCTAGACCCATCATGAAAATGATCTCATCTGTCTCTCCCCAGCTATGTTTGGCAAAAGCCGGTATACTAGAAATCATGAGTGCAAGGCTCTGGGTCCTAGGAACACATTTCCTTCTAAAATATTAAATGTGAAATTATGTATGTAGCAAAAATACTTATTACACGTGGCAAATTTTTTCAGCATGAAAACAGGCTTCATTTACTCTATTATACTCCAAAATTTCCCACCCACTCCTTTATCCCTCCCCCACAGACCAGCATTCATGGATCCCATCAACATATTTTAAGTCCCAAAGAGTTCCCCACTTAGCTTGGGAAATACTGCTCCATCCCTAAGCCCTTCATTCTACAGGGGTGGAAAATGAAGTTGAGTCACAAAGGGACAGGACTACTAGCCTATAGCCTTCTGGAAGGGACCTCGGACATTGTCCAGCCCAACCCCCTTGTCTTACAGATAAGGAAACTGAGGCCTAGGTCACTCAGTCGATAAATATTTATAAAGCACCTACTATGTGCCAGACACTGAGCTAACACTGAGGATTCAAAAAGAGGCAAGACAGCCCCCTGCCTTCAAGGAGCTTACAATCCGACAGGGAGACAAATGTATACAAACAAGCAAACAAATGTGGACAAAAAAGCTACATACAGGAAAAATGGGAAATAATTACAAGAGCAAAGTAGCTAGAATTAAGAGGGCATGGACAGGGCTTCCTGGAGAAGACAGAATTTTAGGGGGGCCCTGATGGTTAAGTGACCTGGCCGCTCACCTCCGTCCCTCCCTGAGGGTCTCTAATCAACCCTCTTCCTCCCTCCGGGACCCCTCAGCCCAGTTTTTGTTAGAGGTCCTCTCCCGAGGCAGAAGCACAGGGGGTCAAACCCCAGGAGAGGGACCCCTGGCTCTGCTCCGGCCAGCCCAGCCCTGCCCTGCCGCATCCTGCATACCAAGGGCCCAGAGGGAGCAGAGGCGGAAGGGCTTGGCCTCGGGCCGCCCAAGTGTAATCTCAGCTCTCTTTAATCCACCGTCACTGAGCAGGAGTTCTCTGGACCATGTTATTAACAGTTCTGTGATCTGCCAGCTGATTGCCTCCTGCCTGTCCCCTCCCAGGGAGATGTGGGGAGGGGCCTGTGGGAACACACACCCAGGGGCTCAGGCTAAATGGAAACCAGGAATGGGGGAGGGGGCTCTCATACAACAAGCTTGGGGGAAGGGGGGAGGGAGAGGAGCAGTGGATAAGGACAGAGCGGGGGAAATAGAGGGAACAGGGAAACAACCAGCCCATGGGTTCTCAGGCCTCTGCCTAGGCAGTTTCTGAGCCTCAAACCCCAGAATCCTGGAGTCTACTGACAATTAAGGTTAATTGGATGAGTCAGCAAGGAAAAAACATCAAAGGAGAGTGTGAGCTCCCAGGGTCTAGGAGAAAAAAGGCAGAGGAGGGAGGTCCCTAGAGCCTGCAGGGCCAGGCTGGGCAGAAGGGTTAGGGGCAGGGGCAGGTGCCCAGAGCTAGCAGGCACCTGTCTGTTAATATCTCTGCCTCTCTGTCTGTCTCACCCTCCCCCTCACTTCTCTCCCTCCTCCTTCTCTCTCCCTTTCTCTTTTCTCCCTCTCTTCCCCCTTCTCTCTCTCTCCTTCTCTCTCTCTTTCTCCTTGTCTGTCTCTGTCTCTCTCTGTCTCTCTCTCTCTCAGCTTCCTGGCCATCATCCCTTGGTCCTCACATACAAATGAGACGCATATCCCACATCACCCCAGACCACTTTGCCCCCTACCCCTTTTGCAGACAACAAAATTCAAGCCTGAAGAGGACAGTGACTTGTTCAGTCACACAGGGAGTTGGTAGCAGTCAGAAGGAGAAGGGGGTTTCCTGCTTCTGACATGACTGCACCATATAAGCCCATAAGGCAGGCCATCAGTGGGCTACCTCCATTCCCACACCACTTGGGTCAGGATTCACTCTTAGTACCAGAGTTCCCATAAAGGACCAACTGGTTGCCTCAGGGGACAATTCAGCATCCCTGGGCCTCCCCACACCCTCCATTCCCAGGCCACCACTCTCATAGAAATGTGTTGTCATTCAGTCATTTCAGACTCTCTGTGACCCGCTTTGGGGTCTTCTTGGCAGAGATACTAACATGGTTTACCCCTTACTTCTGTAGCTTGTTTTACAGATGAGGAAACACAAACAAGGTGAAGTGACTTGCCCAGGGTCACACACCTAGTAAGTGTCTGAGGCCAGACTTGAACTCAGGTCCTCCTGACTCCAGACCCAGCACTCTATCGACCACTGCCCTTCACATAAATGTAGTTTCCTCCCTTTATAAGAACAGAAACTCCTTGAGGGCAGGGACTTCTCACTTTGCTGTGTGTGTAAGTGCTCTTCCATTCATTTTCTTCATCCATACCTTCTTTCCACACCCCTAAACACACCATTCATTGGCCTTTGAGGGGTCCTTGCTCATGACCTTCTGAAACAGCTAGGTGCTCATTCAGTCAGTCAATAAACATTTATTAAGCCCCTACTATGTACCAAAGTACTTGGCAAGGGCTTGGTTGGTAAAATGCTTGACTTGGAAGTCAGTAAGACCCGAGTGCAAATCCTGATTCAGACTTCACTAGCTGTGTAAACTGGGCAAGTCACTTAGCAACTTCTCAGTGCTTCAGTTTTCCAGATCTGTAAAATGAGAGAGTTGCCCTCTAATGTCCCCCCCAGCCTCAGATCTAGGATGCTGTGGAATCCCACCTTATTCCCAGGAGCTCCTTCAGGACAGGCTCCATGCCTTGTTCATCTCTTCAGCCCCCTGACAAGTGGCAAGAGAGGCAACGTGGGGAAGCAGATAGAGGAGGATACACTGACTCATACCAGCTCTCAGGGCCCCAGGCAACTCTTTGAGACTGAAAGTTACAGAGGAGTAGCTGATGCATCACGAGATGGAGTTTCTCCACTTGGAATTCCCCACAGGGATGAAATCACCGGTCCCACAGAAAAACCAAAACAGCACTGACGGGGCACACAGCACTGAGAAGGCCTTCGCAAATTCATCTAGTAGGCTGAATCAACTCGACTGCCCCAGTTTATCCCTAGAAACTCTGTGAGAACAAATAGGAGAAGGATTATCGTCCCCATTTCACAGACGAGAAAACTGAGGCTTGGATAAAGGAAATGAGGAGCCCTTCCTCACAAAGTGAGCCAGATGTCACCAGGTCTCCGGATGCCCAGTCCAAGGCTCTTCCCATCAGATAACAAGGGCCAATCTATCCTGTGTATTAAAGTTTTCTATGTATATGTTACATTCTCCCCTGCTAGACTGTAAGCTTCTTGAGAGCAAGAACAGGCTTATCTACACAGAGTCCTGCATACAGTAAGCAATTAACACATGTATAAATTAAATCATTAATTCATAATAATTCATTATTTAGGGCAAATATTCATGTTTTCTGAAATGAACCGAGTTGACGAGACTTCACAACTGACTGAGTGTGGGTATGAAGTAGACAGAGAAGTCGGCGATGATGGGCAAAGAAAAGCAACGATTACTGGAGCCCGCCTGAGGGGCCCAACTGTCCAACCAAATTAATCTCATTTTCTTTTTCCGAAAGGGTGCCCCTATCTATAAATCAGGGGAAAGGAATAGCTATTGTGCCCCGGCTATCTTAGTTAGTCTTAGAGACTAACCCCCTTGAAGGCAGGGCTGTGTGCTTGTCTCCTAAGGCAGATTCGGTTGTTGCAAAATACCCGGGAGCCGCTTACATATTTGGCACAGAAGGATATTCTGCCCATCATCCAGGCCCTCGCTCTCCCTGCCCACCCCTCAGTCAGCTCGGAGCTCCCCCACAGGGCTCTCTGCCTAACACCCACCCAGCTGGCCCTGCCCCTCGAGCTCGGCCCCCCAGGCTGGTAAGCATCCAAACCCTGGCTCAGCCAGCCTGGCCCGGCCCACACTTGCAAAGTCCCATGTAAAGAAAGAGATGCGGGAACATAAAACGTCGGAGCTGACCGAGGCCTCGGAGATCACCTATTCCTGCGCCAGCACTTCATAAAGGGGACAAGGGAGGCCCAAAGGAAGGGAAATAACCCGCCCACAGTCCTGCATCAGCAGAATGGGGATCTGAACCTTGATTCTCTGGCTTCAGATGCAGGGCTCTCTCTGCAGCAACGATTCCAAAGATGGGTCACTGCTCTATCTGTTGTCTTATTCTGGGGACACTGAGACACTAAGGACCTGCCCGGGGACACACAGACAGTCCCAAAGGCAGGACCCTGGTCTCTGTGTCTCGGGAGCCACCCCTCCACCTTGCAGTCCACAGAGCAGAGGTTTAATAAATGCTGCATTGAATTCAATTGTGCTGAATTACCTCCAGGGCCCTTCTCAGGCCCCTTTCACCCCCACCATAGGGGAATCCTCAGCAGGGAGGGGTCCTCTCCCACCCAGGCCCTGTTTCCCCCCTACCAAATGGAAGCCTCAGCAGAAAGGTGTCCTCTCCCACCCAGACCCCTTCCCCCCGCCCCGACCATGGGGGAAGCCTCAGCAGGGAGGGGTCCTCTCCCGCCCAGCCCCCTCCCCTCACTCACTCACCGAGTTGATGCAACCCAGCTCCTTGTTCAGGAGCCAGGGCAGGGAGAGCTTGCCCTCCCCCCGGTAACACGACTGGATCCTCTCCTTAATCTTGTCCTTGATCTTCTTGAGGGTGAAGAGGCAGAGCACAGACTCCTTGGGCGGCTTGACCCGGTTCTTCTGGCCCTGGGCGAACACGGTGAAGAGCACGTCTTCACCCTCGGACACGCCGAGCTGGCGGGCCAGGGCCTTGCCCGGCTTGCTCAGGTAGGCGTCCTGCACCAGGCGGTACTCGACGCCGCCCTGCACACAGCCGATGGGGAACTCCACGTAGGAATAGAACTTGGGGTCGTCCACGCAGAGGCGGACAATCTTCGAAGTGAAGAACTGCTCACCCGTGGAGTCTGGTGAGGTCAGCTGAGTGTCCAGCTGCAGGGTCAGGTAGTAGACAAACTGCTCGCTGCTGAAACTGTAGATGTAGTAGATGTCGAAGGCTGGGAACTTGGACAAGGTGTCCGAGGGGATCTTGAGCTGGGACGACACAAACTCGTCCTGGTAGACGAAGCCGAACATCTCCGCATTCTCCTCGTTCTCCATCAGCTTGCGGCTGGACAGAGTGGGGAAATACTCGGACTTGCCGTCGATGGGGGTGCCGATGAAGAGCTTGTCGTGCCCGCCGGGGACCTCGATGAGCACGCCGGACATGGTGCCCGACTCATTGACGCTGGACAGGTAGTGTTCCTTGCGGTGATGAGGCTCGCCCAGCTTGAAGAGGTCGTCGAGACGCAGGAACTGGCAGATGCCCTGGGAGGTGCTCCCACAGGCGATGAGCCGGTTGGCTGCATAGTCCACCAGGAGAAGCTTGTTGACGTTGTTGGTGGTCACCAGCCCGTGGGGGCAGGACTGGACACTGGGGGGCGGGTAGCACTTTTCATTGTCATCTACGGGGCCCGTGACATGGGTCCGCAGCAAGGTCAGATTGCTTGAGAGCTTGTAGATGCGGTTGACGGCCCCCACATACACCTCTCCCGTCTTGTTGTGGACAACCAGGTGGGTCAAACTCCAGTCGCTCACCGGGAAAGTCCGGAAGGGGGGTTCAGCACTGCTGGCCACCGCCCACACTCCCCCCAGCAGCAGGAGGGCCCAGGGACAGACGGCTGTACACATGGCAGCAGTTGGAGGGGGGGAGGGGAGGCAAGTGGTCCAATAACCTCTCAGATCCTTCAGGGCTCCACATCTAGGGGGTTATGGAAACAGCCAGCCTGGTTAACCCTGCAGAGGAAGAGACAGAAATGTATGAAAATGAGTTGGGAAGGGAAAGACCGTTAGATCACGCACTGGTGGGGAGATCTGAGGTGACCCGGGGGACGTTCCCCAACACAAGGCAGATTTTCAAAGGAGACCAGAGCTGAAAGCAGCCAGAAACACAATCCATGAGGCCTTCATTTATCCACCTTGAGGCCAAGGGTTGGCTCCCCTTAAGTTGGTACCTCCCCTTGCCCAGGGTCAAACTCCACAGCCACGTACATGTACATGATCAGAAGAAGCATGCTGTCACTATACTAACCCCCCACCTGAATTCTGTGCTCTAACATTCTACGGTCTAAGACCCCAGCCGACCACAGATCGTTCTAAGGAATCTTCCAATTCTAACATTCTTCCAGATCTCACATTCGAGGTACTCAGGTCCCTTCCAGCTGACACCCTGTGACTGGCACAGGCAGAGGCCAGAGGCAGGGCCGGTGAAGCCGCTGGTGCAGTAATCTAGGCAGGAGGTTATGCAGACCTGGGCCAGGGAAGGAAGGAATCTACAGGGAAAGGCAGAGCTTCTTCCAAAAATACTTCAGCTCACCCTGAGTTGCCTATCATATCTGATGGGGTGAGTCCCAGCTGGGCTTGGCCAAGAGCCAAGAAGGAAAGCCATCCACTAAGGTTCCCTAGAGTGGGCACACCTGCCTCCCATTCCCCACAGAAGACCCAAAGCATTAGCGACCATTGAGCTGGAAGAGGTATGAGGGTCCAGGATACCGATATCCCAAATGATGTCATCACTCCACATCCACTTAGCCCCCTCGGGGCTGGCGGCAGCGAGGGCAGGGGGTGCAGGAACCAGAGCCGGCCCATCCTACTCCTCCCAAGCTAAGCCGTGGCAAGCAGCAAACATGGCCGCCATGCATTCCCCCATACACACACACACCCCCTCCATCCTCTAAGAACCTCTCGGGCAGACAGGCTGGCTCAGAGCCCAGGCCTGAAGCCGTCCTGGTTAAACAAACACAAAACCAGCACAAAGGAGACAGCGTTAATGTTGCCTCCCAAGCCACACAAACAGGGGCTAAAAATACATTTCTTTCTCCCAGGCAAGGTATGCCCCAGAGCCTCAGGCCTCTGAGTAGGAGGGGGTCCTGAGAAGGAAGGGATGCCCTGGAAAAAAAATAAATAAATAAATCTGGCTGCCTATGAGCAATTAGCCAACCTGAGCAAGTGATGTGTGTGTATATGCACATGCAAACATACTTCTAAACACATCTGTGTGCTGGCATGAATCTGCATGCATACATGCACCGTGGGCGAGCACATGTATATGTGGGTTTAAGTGTACAAAGGACCCCAAGATTTAGAACCAGAAGGGACCTTAGGGACGGATGATCTTGCAACACTCACTCACTTTACTGGTTAAGTGACCTGCTTAGGGCCACAAGATAAGGAGATCAGAGCTGGGATTTGAACTCACTTCCTTTGATTCCAGGCTCAGGGTGCTATCCACCAATGGTGAGGGAGGGGAAGGGGGAGTCATGACCTTGTTTATGTCCTGGGCCCTTTGGATCTGGGGAAGCCTATGGACCACTCCTCAGAATACCGTTTCTAGATGCATAAAATAAATTATATAGGTTTACAAAGGAAGCTGATTATATTGAAATACATTTATCAAGATAGTTTTTAAAAACAGGTTATCGGAGCATAGGTTAAAAGTCCCTGCACAAAGACATGGAAGGTCCTTGGGTGGGGGAACTTTGCATATATTTTCGGATGTTTTCAATATATTGATCGTTTTTTCCTGATTTTTTCCCTCCCTCTTTTTTTCTTTAAAAATATTATTTGTTATATGGGATGCCTCTCTGGGAGGAGAGAGAGAGGAGGATAATGGGAGTAGTGCTAGCAATGTAAATGACAAAAGATAATTTGTTTTTTAAAGAACCCTGCACAGTGAGACCATGCTGCCCCAACCCAGTGCCCTGACCGGTCCAAAACAAGGATGCTCTTTGAGGGGCCAGGAAGCTTTCTCCTCTTTTACTCCCCAAAGGTCCCAAGCTTGATGACGCCATTACTGAAGGGCCAGAGCATCTCCAGTGTGCCATGGACCTGGCTGAGAGACTGGCTTGAGCGCCCCTCTCCCACACGAAGACTTTCCTGACCCCCACCCCCACCCCAACCAGTGCTTCTACCCACTCCTGACTTCCCCATGACTGCATTTCCTTTGTTCATGTTTTATATCTATGCATATGTGCACACACTGTTTCCCAGGAAGCTTGTAAGCTTCCTGAGGGCAGGGACTGTCTGGTTTTTGTCTATGTATCTATACTATCCTCAAGCAGGTGCCTGGCACACAGTAATATTTAATACAAGCTTGCTGAACTGAACCAAACTGAAAGGAACTCAACTAAATTGGTCCACATTCATGGATACAGACTTTGAGAACCTGGGGTTTTCTGTGATTAAAAAAGAAAACTGAAACTCAGCACATAATCTATGTGATTCTTCCTCTCTACACACATGAAACTGAACACAGATGCTCCCCTCCACCTTCACGAGAGCTTGGACAAGCCTGGGAGCCTCCGGGATGGAGGAGGAAGGACCCCAGGACCCTGAGGATCCATGGACACGTCTTATTCAAAGGCAGGGAAGATGGAACCCTTCCAACCCTGAACCCATCTGACTTCGTGTGACTCATGAAAGGCATGACATTGGGGATTCCCCCAAAGTTAGTTCTGCTGAGCAACTCCAGGCCGGGAAAGTCTGGAGGCCTGCCCCCCAAAGGATCCAGGAGCAGACTGGCTCTCCTCCTCTGCTTCAGGTGACATTAACCCCAATGGCCATAAAGGGGCCAAGGCCCTCCTGGGTCTCCATCTTGGGGGTGGGCTGCACTGGGGTGGCCATGCTCTCCTGCTTTGTCCCATCTGTGAGTCTCAGAGGCATCTAGTGTAACGTCTCATCTTACAAATGAGGAAAATGAGGCCCAAGGAATCTGGCCTCCTGGTCACATCAGTAATGGGACTCTGAATCCAGGTCCTCCAACCGCAGGACAGAGTACTTTCCACTGCACTAGTGCTCAGGTGAGCGGCCTTGCCTGTAATAAGGTGGGGGAGGGGGAAATTCAGTTAAAGACAAAGAAAAGGGGGGAGGGGAAGGGGGAGAGAACAGCTGTCACTACGGGGGAAAAAACCCAGCACCTAACACAATTCTGCTTAGCATCCAAAGTGCACGGAATAAGGTGGGTATTCCACCGAGAGCATCTGCCTGGGAGTCACAAAAAATGAGTTCTGGTCCCACCTCGGTCACAGAAGCACCAATTCCCTCTCTGGGCTTTGAATTTGCCTGGCTGACCTCAAAGGTCCCCTCCTGGGAGATGATTCTATGAGTCACAGCTCCCCTCCTCTCCGGGAGGTCCCGAGAGCAGTTTCCACGCTCCTCTATGCTCAGTGAGAAATGCTTAATAATGTGCATCATCAGCTGACATGTAGCGAAAGGGAAGGAACAGAGAGTGACTTGGGGAAGTGGAAGCCTTGGAAAGCCCCCTCCTCTATCCTCGACTAAGAGGGAAGCACAGGTGGGTGAAGCCCCAAAGCCCCCAACACCAAGCCCCATCGTCAAAATCACACCTCCCCAGGAAAAGCCCCTGGGGAAAATATGTCTGTTCTAATGTCATAGGCATCTCAAGCATCTTGACGTACCAGCTCCAAGATGGGGATAAAAACACAAAATTCCAATTGTGGCTGTTCCTCTTTTCATGAGCACATCTGGAAACCGGAAACAAGCAACATACAAGTAGGAGCCCCCCGCCCCAGTGGGCTTCGGCGAAGCCCATAATATAGGAGTGTGGGTACTCGCATTTGTGTGTGCATAAGCAAGTGCGTTTAAGTCACAAGGTCAACAGTCCCCCTTCATAGCTGGGGAAGGTAGGAACAAAAGAAAACGACAAGGGTGTCAAGACAGATAACCCCCAATACAAAGGACATGACCTGGATCAGCTGTGGTGAGAGGAGAAGTGAGAAAAAAATCCCCAAGTCCGAAGACTACTTCCCTTTCTGCACGGGTCTAGCTACGTCCCGGCAAACCGGGGGTGGAAGATAGGGTGGGGAGCTTCTTGGGGACTCCCTGCAAAGAAGGACAGGCTAATATGCCAACCTTTCAATAGTTAAAGGGTCACAGAACACTACAGCTGGTAGGAACCTCAGCATGTAGAACCTTAGAGCTAAAAGGAGCCTCCAGCACTTAGTTAGCACAGTGCATGGCACACAGTAGGCACTTATTAATTGACTGAATGCCAGAGTAAAGGGTTCTTAGAATATTGGTGGACTCTGGAGGGCCCCTTAGAACACAAAAGATCAATGCTGGAAAGGATTTCAGAGCTAGAAGGAGTCTTAGAACACAAGAACAAAGCTGAGAGGGACCTCAGAACAAACAGTGTCAGAGGGGGAAAGGGCCTGGGAACAAAAGAGTATCAGAAGTGGCCGTGACAGGGGAGAAGAATTCCTAATTCAGGAGAGAGAGCTTCAAGGCTTCACAAAGTATTATCCTTGGGAAGCAGGTGGTGTTGAGCATCCCCATTTTCACAGAATCTTAGAGTCAGAAGAAACCTCATCAGCCAGGAATCCTCACTATGAACAATACAATGACCGGCGGTCTCCAATCACTACTAGGAAGCATCCAATAAGGGATGGTGGTCCCTTCGACTTCTCAATAGCTCCAATGACCACAAAGTGTTTCCTGAAATGAAGCCTTGGTTTTACAGATGTGGAAACTGAGGTTCAGAAAAGTTAAGTGACTTACTCAAGATCACACAGTTAGTGCATGTTATAGCCAGGGTTCAAACCAGATCTTATGATTCTAGATCTGATCCTCTTTCCAATAAACCACTGATTCATCATGCCAGTGCTTGGCCAGAGTCAACCAACCAGACCAGGGCTGCTTCTTCAAGGATTAGCAAACTATCTCAGCTGAAAAGGATCTGAGAATAGAACGTTAGCACCCAGAGAGATATCAGAACAGAG